GATAAGATTTCTTCTGCATCATACAGTAGGTTTTTCTTCCAATTTGCTTGATAAGATTCCTAAAAATTTCACTGAAGTGCCACGCGGCCACAAAACGTAAAACATGCGTGGTTTCCAACGTGTTAATGTTCGAGCGAGGTGTTGGCTCTGCTGGCTCGTGCTTCCACCGCTCTGGCCGCAGTTGTGACGTCACCAGCACACGCTCGCGTCCGCGCCGCTGATGAACTTTCCTGTCCTCCATTTTGTATGACCGATGTTGACGATGCGTGCATACGATAGTCGTAGTCCATGTGCAGGAGTCGATGATGCAGTTTGACTTTCATATAAGCAACCTACTAAAGGGGATGGAGGGAGGCATAGTGCGGGAATGACAGACCAGAGCTGACGGTCAGCCCCCTTCCTGATTCTTGGAAAATTTCCATACGGCTCCAAGTTACCCTATTTGGCAGTAAATACTAGAACAGCATTTTGATGAAATATTTAATGGCAAACGTCTGAGTGTTTAGACGGCAAGAATGACATAAGCAAGAACATAAAAGTGTGAGTGTGACAAGAAGACATCTAAGGCAATGACACATTTCGATCTACAAAACGCATGGTAGCACGCATACGGTAGCCGTAGATGAAGGGAGTGTTTGAATGGACCACTCATAATATACAAACACAATAACACAAAAACACACTGAAATAGACTAAGGGACTGATTGAAGGACTTTGTCGCAACAGTGTGCTTTTTACTATAGGATATAATAGTATTTAGAATATGAATATAATAATCAAACTACATAGGGTCCATTGAGAAGATCATCGAAAAGTGGAAACATGACTAAGTTGTGAAAGGTGTAAGTGAAAACAGTGCTGTACAGAATTAGTTTCTACGCGTGCCAATTCAAGCACAAAATAAGGCCCGTACAATGACATGAGGAAGGAGAACAGAAATCAATTCGGGCCGCTTTAACGATGCTCATAAAGGTGCAAGGAACGCAGAGAAAACAGCTGCGATTGTAAAATTCACAGGTGCCGGCCAAGAGGTCCACGTTGCCGCTCCGCGACAGCCTGATGCTTCACGGTCGCGATGGGCGTGGCGATTATCACCGCGCGCGCCGGGAACTTGCGGCGCTCTCGCAGAACGGACTTTTGGGTACTCGACAGGAGGCTCTTCGCGCAGCTAGTTGCGGTGCGCCGACTCAAAGGTTTAGGCTGCGCGGCCAAAAAGGCTAGTTCGAATTTTTCTGTAGTGAATTATGTCACTTAACTATTGTGTTACCAACTTTCACGGTCCTATACGTCCTTGTATCGTTGTACATCTTGCAATCAAACGTGCCGATCGTCCGCTGAGCCCTCCTTTTTGCCGCGCGGCGGGCTTCTTGTCGGGCATCCCGGACCTTTGGACCGACACTGCGAAATATAAAATCAGCTATTCTCAATAAATTTCTACTAATTTGGAAGTGGTGGTGTTCATGAGCAATCGTTAACGCCTCCGATTCAATAATTCAAGTTAAAGTTGACAACAAGACTCAAATCTGCCATGGAATCGATTAAAAGCTAACCAGAATCTAAATGACTACGGTATAATACACTACTATGTAGCAACAAAATGCGCTTATTGTCAGAAATATTAATAAGTTGCGAAGTCAATCAATGTGGTACTGAAGACAAAAGCTTAAGCACCTCATGCTTCGCTTACACCGGTCTGCATAATGGCATGGCACATGAATAGAAGTCTCAATTTAATTGAAATAAAAAGCGATTTTGTCAGGAATGATCGCGATTAATGGCAGTTCAGCGATCCGCGCGACTCGCCTTTTGGCATTGCACTACTCGATTCGTGCGTTCGCTACCCGTCGTCGGAACACAGATCGCATTCGACCCATCGGCAACGGACAGTCGAATCGTCGCGGTATCGGCTTCAACACGTGCTATCATCAACGGTAACAACGGGGTAACCAATAATCCTTGCGGTGATGATTCTGAGTTGATAGCTAAAAAAGGTTCTGTTACAGGCGGAGTTTACGCAGAAGAGACAGCTCATCAGAAATCCGGGTAAGGTGGTCAGTAGTGCAGGAATGAAGAAAAAACCGAGAACAACCTGGAACTCGAGAAATGAGACCCCTTTTTGCTCGCTGATTTACGCGTTAAATGTGTCACTGCTTGGTGCTGACGACGCTCTCTCTCGTAGGCGGCTAGAGCGATGAAGATCGTGGTGGAGGGCGGGCAGAGACAACACTGGCGCGAGACGGCCATGTTAGATCGCCGGGACATCCTTGGCTGCAAATTAGCGTGTCGGTCCGCACTTTTAGGGGGTCCGCCTGTCTTTCACTAGGTAGCTTTCCCCTTAGTCGACCTCCGACCTTATTGTGGAATCCTCTTTCAAGGAAACACCTCAACTGCGACGTTTTGGCAGCAGGGTCAACTATACGAACCAAAATCAAGGAGGAGATGTGATGAGGATGGCGTTTAGAGGTGCTTGGGGGGTCGGGACCCCCCCCCCTCCCCCAAGCATGATGATGGTTGTGGGGTCGTGTCGAGGCTCTCCTCACCTTCCTTGAAAGGTTCAAGTTGCGAATGAATTGGTGGGATATTTTCTCATCGAAAATCAGGCAAGAAGTGCGAAAGGAACGTTAGTGGGAAGAAAGCAAGCAGCACCATACAAAACACTGAAATATTTCATATAAGGTCTATGCGAGAGAACACTCCGTGTGCGAGAGGGCGCAGACGCCGTTCATAAGAATGACAAGATCGCAGCTGTCGAACGAAGCCATGAGTTCCTTTGTTTGTCACGCACTTTTAAGTCGCTGCAGTACCATCATCCCTGTTATTAGAGGTCCTACTACCTCAGTTAAGGTGAGAGCTTCTCTAAGGGTCTGGTCGCGACCCGTGCCTTTAAGAAGAGGGAAGCCGTGAGAATTCTTGAAACTAGGTTAAATTGGTAGAACAACTAACGATCGACCGTGATTGGCAGCTCCCAGAGGTGAGGCATCCCAAGGAAACAGATCAGGAGAAAGCTGATATAATGTCTTACTGACCCGAATAGTGGGATGCGCCACCATTGTGTGATAGTTCCAGAAAACTCGAGTGCAGATGAAGTACGAGAGAATGACGTCAAGAGTGTAATGACCGCGTGAGATCACCAGAAATACGACACCAACGAGGGCGACCAGCCAGGAGAATATGTGCAAAATACGCCATCGCCGAGGAGAATCTGAAACAAATCGCGGTGAAAACTGTCGAAAAGGAAATTTTCGAAGCTGGGTGCTGAAACTCATGAGATCACGGCTTATTTATGCTCTATTTGGTATAAATCACCCCAACGACAAACAACTTACATTCTCCAATGAAAAGGGCGCTGACAACGAGTACAATAGTGTAGTGCCACTATAGATGTAGTCGCCACAGAGAGTGTATTTGCCACGAACGTTTAGGCCTACGCCGGACAATCTTCAACCACGCAAATAGAGTACACATTCCGAATGTCGCCCATTATTCACGCTGAAAAGAACTTGGAAATTCGAAAATATTTGATGAACAAATACATAAGAAAACAAGTACGAATCAAAATTTAGCAGCCAGAAATCACGTAAGAAAAACTTTCGGTGGGTTTGACAAATTGTGCGTTCACAAAGTCAAAAACGGGGGTACGTGGCATTTCCTATATGTCGCCAGGAAGAAGATCCAGGCAGTTTCAAAAAGCGCGGAATTCGTTAGAACAAAGAGTCTGAGGTCGATCCGCCTCCAATGATCTTTTGCCGGCGGGAGGGACTGTACGGGCGACTTTGCAGGGTAGAAATAAGAATTAAAGCTTCATATGCCTTTTTGGTCATTTGCACTCCTGGCTGTGAAAACCCAGAGGATGATGGGGGTTGTTAGCGCTTCTTTCAATCAGGTTAGCGTGGTAACAAGTACTAAGGGGTGGAAGGATGCAAGGGTCAGCTTATCCGAAGAGACCTTGGTTTCCGGTAGTACAAAGTGCTGTAGTCAGTTCATGCTAATTCTTTATGGACAAGTTTAGAGAGTAGTGGGGCAAGAGGTACAGCATTGAGGAAAAGCTTGAAATTGCCTAGAACACGAAATAGACTCTTCTCCCCACATTAGGCCGAGGTCCGAGTGGTTTTGATGCACAACTTAAACGCTCTGTCTGAATTTCCGCAAACGGATAGAGACGATAGCGAGGGACCAGCAACGGGGGCCAGGCGACGGGGCGTGTACAGTGCGCGGCGTAAAGTTCTGTTTAGGCACGAGGCTCGCTTCTCGCAGACGAAACGCACCCGCCGTCCGCTGTCTCCAGGACATGCCTTTCTCGCAGCGGATGGCATTCCCCTTCGTCAACTTCACTTCGTTCGTACCACCTGTCTCAAATGGAGAAAAACTAATATTTTTGGTGCAAAGGGAAGATTCGGGATCGGAAACAGGCATTTGGTGTAACGGATCAGTGGTAACGCACGACATCAAATATAGCAATGGAAGCCACCATCATTAGATCGCGCGGACACAAATCATCTACTGCCTGGAAAATTAAGGTTATCCTGCGCAGGGAATTGCATTGCCACTCCGCACTCAGGATCCGCGCCCTTACCACTAGGTTAGGGCATGGGCGGCTTCTTAGGTACGGAGTGACACGGTTCCCCCGCTTCGATTTTTGACATTATCGTGGAATCCCTCTTTTGATAGAATCACCTCAACTGTTCCCGCATTTCTTCGACCTTATCGCGTAATCCTTCTTCAAGTTCCAAAACCCCCACACGCTTGAGGGATTTGCGAAACTCGAAACTTTTTCTCGTTGAAATTATTATAGGTAGGAAAAAAGTATGGGGTGGTTTGAGTACGCAATACGCAACCAACATGCGTGCGGTAGGGAGACTCCAGTAGTTCAGTATGTCCAGATGCTGTGCGACAGTCTCCGCATAAATGGCGAACAACTGGAAGTATAACTTACCGATGGAAGAGCATCAAAAGCAGAACGGAGGCGAACGAAGCCAGCCTGATATATTCGCAGATTTTTAGACCGTCCTTGTAGTACGGTATCAACGAAAATGTTATATCGGGCAGTGGAGGCGTTTCGGGCACACCGCTCATGGAACGAATGACAACACAATCTCGTTCAGCACAGCGGCGAAAGCCAGCAGTATAAATGAGAGCTGAAATAGGGAAGAATCGATTGAAATCGAATCGATATTTGGTAACGTAAAAGATAGAGAGAACGTTCAGACATGCCCTGAGATGTGAGAGGTTTTTTATCACTATTTGATTTTTTATATATTATTTATAATAAAATATGAATATAATTGCTGAACTCTCCTGACAATTTTTAGAGTAGAAGTGGAATGTGAATTTTTGCTCTTTTATGCTTCTCCGATCAAACTAATAGTCGAGGCTTTTTGAGAAAGAATATAAATTTGTCGGACACAGTAGAATGAGAAATCCGCCTAATACTCCTGGTTTTCGCTGGTCACCCAACTTTAGCAGGCGCTTGAAGATGAAGCGGTGATGCGCACACAATTGAGGACGTCGGACTACAAAAGGCTCATGAGTTCAGCCAAAGGTTGCTGACTCGTAAACCGTGATGCTCAGGTGCGCCGCTGGCTTGGCCGTTTCGGCTGACCCAGGTAATAGGTCCAGCACGAACGTGCAAAAACTTTAGTCTCTAGGTGAGACTCCTAGAGGGCAATCACAAATGTGGCACTATGAAAATTGGCCGAGAAGAGCGTTAAGTACCTTGCAAAGATAGCTTCAACAGCTTCAATTTTCCCCGTCCGTCTCAGGCTGTGACTGGCACCCTCTCATCGTTTCCTTCTTTCGTCTCATACTCCCTCTCCGCGCCCAGTTTCTCTCACTGCCATTGCGCAGCTGCATTAGGAAAGTGAGCAAGCTTTCAACCTCAAGGCAAGGTTCAAGATCGAATTGATGTGGTGATCTCACTCAAATAAGGTACGTTTAGGGCTAAGTTGGTCAGAGCGAATGAGTTCAAAAAACTAATAATAATAACTAAATAATATAAGTAGACGCTCTTCGAACTGAAGGGGTGAGATGAGAAGAGATCATTCTTGGAGTTTTATTTATGCCTGAACAAAAAAGAAGTCTGAATCATTGAATTTTTAGGGAGTTACATGAAATATAAGATGAAAAATGTTTACGGGAAAATTTTTAGATTATGAAGCCAGAAGAATGGTGAGATCAATGGAAGAAACTGATACTCACCAAGCGCTTTTGAGCGTTCCTTCGGAAATCGGTCATGAGGTGACGCTGGCTTTTCCGAAGCGGGCATGTCGATTCGGACCGTTTGGCTGCCGCTGGCCAAGAGAGGAGCATCGTCGGCCGTGTCGCTGTCGCTCGCCGTCGAGTCAGCCGACCGCACTGCGACGCGATGCCGCCGAGCTCGCCGGTCGATGCGAGAACGTCGGTCCTCGTTCGTCCATCACTGAAAACACGCAGATGAGTTTGAATGAACAGAACAAAATATAGCTCGAGCCTGCACAGCGGTGCAGAATGAATGTGGGTTGCAAAAATACAGTATCGCAAAAATACAGAAATTTATTATTCCAGCTAGGTACTGGTTAATTTTCTCGCTTTATATAGGACAATCACTTGCTTTTTTAATTTACGTCATATGCAAAAAGATCTGGTAAGGATAAAATCATGAGTTAGATAATTGGGGAGCTCAAGCGGTATAAAGTCAGGGTCTCTTGGGAAATTGAACTACCTATGGTGTTTTCTCGTGCTTTTTTCAGTTGATAGTTACGAACTTAAAGGCACACTCCACGACGTGATTGGCGTGATTCTAGCGCATGGGATGAAAGTACGAAAGCCAGTAATCAGTGAATCGGTATCAAGGAAAAAGGGAAAGAGTCCGTCCGGAAAAAGCTGAACATGAGTGCTTACTCACTTTTGCAATTCAGTATTCTCAGAAAATGAGACAATGGGTGCAAAGGAGAGAGAGGAAGTGAGAGAACACGATCGATGTGAGGGCGCAGACACCCGCCGCACGTTGAGAGTGAGGAAAAATGGTTGCGTTAGAAGCCATTTAGAAAAGCCCTAGCGCTCTTGTCGTGCACTTTTGCACCGGGAGTCGGGGACACCTGCAATTTTTGTGGGTGGCCCTATTTTACTGACATAAGAGATCGATCGACTGAACTCATTGTGGGATGCGCTTTCAGGTAACAACAAGTGCTGCAGTAGTGTTAGTCAATAGCAGTCTCATGCAGTAATTTACGAGCAGGTTTTGATATGGTAGCGTTTTTAAACCCCGCAACTAACCCCATACCAGGGAGTCGACCCAGAAGAGGTATAAGGCTTGGCTAGACCAAACGAGATCAACCCATGAATACGTCTGTGGTGGCAGCCCCACTACGTCACCTCCAGCTGAAGTTGTAGAAGCGGTACTGTACTGGATACTCCTCCACTCTACTAGTATTCGAGTAAAGCAGGAGAGAATAGCTAGAATGACGTGACTTCTAGGCAAACACGGCCGGTGGTTCATCAAAAAGAACGCGCACGGCTGAAGAAGACAGAGAAATGATCAGATTTGAGGGTACGTACGGGTGGCGGAGAAACCTGTTCAACAAAACATTTTTGGTACTTCACCGATCACACAAGTACACGGGGTTGTCTTGAGTAGAGACTAGTAGTTGAGACAAAGATTAGTTGAGACAAATAACCTGTGAAGAAAACTGGTTGAAGAGGACAAGATTAGTAAACAGATAAAGTGGAAACTCGGTGTAAAGGAAAACAGTAGAGAACGTTTCTTTGGTTGTACAACTCACTGACAGCTAAAAGAAAAGATCCTACTTCCATTTCATTTCTTATGTTGTCTTCTGAGCCATTTGAAGGGTAAAAATGCGAAAAACTGGCCACCCAAAACCCAACACCCAGGCAATTTTCACGAAAATACGGCTCGCTTGAGAGGTTACTGGTAGTTCCCGCGCTTGTGGTTGGACTGCTCAACTGCTGCTATTCGTGCTTCGCTAAATTTTAATGTAAAGGATTAAGGGTTCAATGGTTGGCATTGCTGGACGCATTAGAAAAACTGTGTGTGAGTTCAAATTTGCTTCATCCGTCGCTGCGGCTCGGAAGTGCGCCACAGTCTCGCCAGAGCCTTACAAAAAGATCTTATGGCGACTAATGGAAACTAATGGGCGAGATATCTCGTGACACGCAACGTGGATCACGACATAGCGGCTAATTCAAATACGCGCGGGTTAGTGGAGCCATGGAGCAAGCGTCCAGACAACTCGTCCGGCACGCCCCTCCCCCTTCAGGGGGAAGGGAAGGTATACTTGTCAATGGCTCAATTGGCGGCTTGCTGTGATTCTTCTTCCTTACCAGTGATTTGGCATCCACAGGCTCATTATCGACCGCCGTTACCCCACGAATTTGATCTACGGTGCTTGGTGCTTTATAGGCTCATTGCCAGGCGGAATGGCTTCTGCAGTGTTTGCAAGCAAAGCAGCGCCTGCAGCTGCTGCGATAGCTTCGCCATTAACTGCATTGTAGTGGGGCTTTTACGAAGCACAGCCATAAAATTCACCACTTTGCTTGAGGAATGCACCGTAGTTTTAAAAAAGGGTGTGATTTATCTCTCAAAAGCGGAAGCCGTCAGAAGAATATGCCGTGAAAATGACAGACACTATGGAGGGCTGCAAATGACAGATTCCACACACTTTAAGTGACATCAATGATGAACGCATGAGTCCAGAATGAAAATCCACGAAAAAAGAAGAAATAATGAAACAAAGAGGTAAGGAAGTAAAGAAAAAGAAAGGGAGACATATGTATATGAGGTGTAGGCTCGGTTGATGAACAAGTCACTCATGGGTTCAAAAGAATTGAGGAAGTGCTGAACATTGCTCACATATATTGGGATGCGCCACGAGTTCATCAATTTGACAGTGAAATTCTTCGATTGGAAGCTACTGCTGCCGTTTCATTAATTCAAATGAACAACATATAATTACAAACAGATAGAGGGATAAACACACCAAACTAGTGGTTCATATATAGAGTGATACTGTAAGAACAGTAGAAGATTCTATCTCAGATATGGAACAGGCCCCTGGAGGGGTGGACTACCGCCACAAAGTGAGAATAGAGATCTCATAAAATCTAATCGATGTTACAGGCGAGCAAAAAAATCTTGAAGCTCACTGAATGGAGCTACATCTCGGTGCCTTTCCCGCCTATCATTTATCTGATTTCATTATCTTTTCTTTCGGTAAAGAAGGGGGAATTGATACCATGTGAGCGAACATAAGTGGGAAGCCCGACAGCTGCCAAAATTCCTCACAAAAAAGCTCAACTCGAAAATTGAGAGAGAACACGAGAGAGCGATAATGAAATATGTCGCCCGCAGACGTCAGCGCATGAGTCCAGGCTACGACAAACCGCAAAGATTGGGAAAGGCCATGGAAGAGCTAGAGTAAAAGTATGAACCTTAGCTGCCAGCAGGCGTAATGTCTAGACAATCGCTCACGACGGACGACTAAAAATATTTCGATCGGTGTCGAAACGAACAACACACATCAGTCAAGGTGGAGGTGCGCCAATGAAGAGTGTAATAGAGAAAACTCGACGTGATGCACTGGCAAAGAACCACGAAAGCACTGAGAACAATACGCGCACGACAGAGAAGTAAAACAATGGTTGAGAAGGTGCAGAAGGTGACAACGTCAGATTCCGCGACTTCGATAAGAAATTCTCACACAAGACCGCTTTGACTACTGTAGGAAAATTATCAAATTTATGTGTATCTGACCAAGCTTAACAGTTATCAAACATCGAAGGATCAAAAAGCAATGTTGCTATGGACGCTTGACTGCCACAAGCTAGTTATTCTTGTGGTAACTTTTCTGACACCTATTACCAGAAACTATCTGGATTAAAAGGATCAATAGGCCACGAGTAACAATCATCCTAATTTGATAACCAACGCAAACATCAACGAATCCTTTTCCAAGTACATTTCGGAGCCGACTGCACCATTTAGTCTTTATTTGAACTGCATCAGTCAGAGTTCGAAAATACCAGAATCTGATAAATTGGGCAAAAATTGTAACGAATCATCATGCAGATCAGATAGATCAATTCCAAGAGTTCACAAACGACGTTAGTTGCGCGACCAATGAAAATCGATGGGATTCGCCATGCGTCCAACTGCCGTTACGGTTGGTATTCATTCGATGTCTCCCTTATCAAACATAATCACTGACTAGGATCAGCGATACCGCTGCAAGTGCGCATACTTATCCAGGCAAATCTAGTACCAACTGATTAGTTTCGAGAGGTGTGAGGGCAGCGTTGAACATGGCTGAAAAGTTTTGGGAGAAATTGGGTCCTTTCCCCGGAACGTTCTTTCCAGTTGTCTCTAGGGTCAGGTCCCGGCAGAGGCTGCGTGGGTCATTAGATCCTAAAGCTTAAGCTTGGGTTTGAGCTCAGGTTTAGACTTATGCTTACAGATTGGCTTATGCTTAAGCCTAAGATAGAGCCTAGGCTTAGTCCACTTACTTCTAGCAAATGAGGTCTCAATTTGAGCTGATCTGACCTGAGGAGGAGAACTGCAACGTTACATCTTCCCCTTCCACTTTTGTCTTCTACTAGAACTCAGACCGCGCCCTTCGAAACCTTTCCACCTCTTCTAGAATTTTAAATACGACTAGCACCTTCAAGAGATTTATAGAAGCGACGTCCCGTCACAGTCTTACTAACGGAAAGTTGTCCCTGTGTAAAGGACTGGTTACCATTAGTCAGATTCTACTAATCGCTCAAGTTGTGACAGCGTGCTATGCCATCCATAAGTACCATTGAAATGGTCGATCGCTGTGCTTCATAAATGGCACAATAATTCGTCAGTTTAGCGTGAATAATTCTTACCAAACTGGAAGACATAAACAGTACTGGACTTGATTGATTGACTAAACGAGACAGATATCCCACGATTAAAACAGCAACAGAAGTGTCCAAGAAGAGTCGCAGACTTTGAGGTGGTTGAGGAAGGCATTCTGGACAGCGCAGTTCAGCGCAAAGCCGAAGTGATAAGGCAACCTATGAAGGAAAACGGTAGCAAAAAGGACATTAGATAAGAGACAGTGCCAGGGCGGAATGGCGCGAGCAAGACTGGAAGTCAATTACGCTCACGCCTGACCATGCTGTTCTCTTTGCACCCTATACAGCAGAGCAAACGTAAAGTTATCGAATTACACAGTTCGTAGAGAAAAGGCTTACAGAAAGTACAACTGATGAAGTAAGCCCAATACGGCGGGAGAACTTCGACTTCAATAAATCTGACGGGAATAAATACAATGAGTATGCAGTGTTGAGAGTGTGAAGAAAGTGCACTTGAGAAGGAGCAGAAGAGAAATGGTGCGAGACGAAGCCATCAAGCTGATAACAAGAGGGCAAAAACTTCTCAGCTGCTCAAAATCA